CGTTGCAAACCAATTATCATGTGAGATAGAAAATTTAAAAAAATGTTCAAATGTGCATGCATGTTCCAAAGCAATCATAATTATTCTCTAATAATATCCAGTTTAGAATCAGAAGAAAAATATTTTGAATACTCTTAGTTTGTAACAGTGCTCCATCAGTTACTGTGTTCAGAATGATGACACTGATCTGACATGGATTTTTTGTTTGAGAAAACTGCCCAGTGAGAGACGAATATCAAAAGTCTGATATATCACATTGAGATCAATATCCTATCTTGAGCAATAATCTGCAGAGAGTTTTAAAAGGTATTTAACATTGTTATTATCCTTTTTTCTGATAAATCAACAAAACTCTTGCAATTTTAAGTATATTGGCATGTATGCAACATTGTAGGAAACAATAGTTTCAAATTCGCACAACAGTGTTTAATTGTTGAGCAGTATGTAGGAGAAGAGGCAGTATGGTGAGTGATCAAATGAAGTGAAAATGTACAAGCTGAGAAAGAGAAAAGACTGAAATTTTATTGGATGAAGAAGGACAATATCCCAGTGCATGCACCATTCTACAAGACATTATTTTGGATTTTTGTTGTTCATTTTCCACGACAACCACATTCTGTAAAATAAAAAAAAGGAACAAATATTCAGCATTGAATTGAAGGAACATTGCCCACATGAGAAAAAGCTACAACGATGGGTCAAGTCGATGAATGCAGGTTATTACAGATGGGGAGGCGATCGCGTTGTGGTATTATCGGTGGAATGTCAAATTCGAGGCCTAGTTAATGTTCTGAAGACCCCAATTCGAATCCTGCCACTTACGAACAGTCCATTGATGACCATGAATTCCTCGTCAATTGACGGAAAAAAAAACAAAAAAACATCTGGTTCATTAATATTCGTCAAGGAAGGAAATCTGATACCCTTCCCAGGCTGACCGATACATGACTCCAGACCCACAGCAATGTGGCTGATTCTTAACTGCCCTCTGGGCAATTAGTGATGGGCAATTAATACTGCCTGGCCAACGATGCCCACATCCTGTAAATGAATAAAGGGGAAAAAAGAGAATCTGTACAGCAGAGACTGAATGAATCCCAGGCCAGCGCTGAGTGTCCATCTGTGAACACATCTGACACACGGTCCGTCTTGGCTTAATGAGTGAGAATAGAAGTAAAATTATTCTGAGACTGAAAACAACCAATTATACATTTATACATTATTTAAAAGTTGCATGGGAAAGAATTTGCAGGAAATAAAAATTCATTTCAGTTTTTGTCACGCAATCTGAGAAATTTCAACTGAATTTAAATGGAATATGTGTTTTGATTCCGACATCATTTGGGTAGGAGTGCAATATGTTGTCAATGAACATCATTAACAGGGCAAACTCAGACTGCACTTGAAACTTTAAAAAATCTAAAACGGGTTCGTTACCAACCTGTTTCCAGTGCAGTTGGACTTGTGTAATAAATAATCCAAAAGTGACATATTGAGGGCAATGAGGAAAGGAAATGGAACTAATTGAGCAGTTTGTTCAAAGTGGTAGCAAAGGCCCCTTCGAATGAAAGATGTCCTTCCTTTGTTTTGACAACAAGAATTATTTTTTGACACTTACATAGTAAACTATCTGTTTTGAAACACGGTAAAGACGCATGTCCTGGAAATAGGGAAATTGAGAATTCCTGTTAGATATGGTAATGATGAAGCTTGCAGCTGCCATGTAGCCCGGGGAACAGGCTACAACCAAATTTTTATTTCGCCAAATGCAACACTCAAAAAGGAATGTGCTTTCTGGGTTTATTTGCTGACTAGTTCTGTGAATCGGTGTTTATTTCATTAATTTTGATCGAACAAAACTCTTAAACTCCTGAGATAAGACGGTGCAGAGCTGGATGAACACAGGAGGCCAAGCAGCATCAGAGGAGCAGGAAAGTTGACGTTTCGGGTCGAGGCCCTTCTTTACAGAGATAGTAGGACCTGCCGATGCTGGAGAATCGGAGATAACACGGTGTAGAACTGGTCTCGACCCGAAAGGTCAGCTTTCCTGCTCCTCTGATGCTGCTTGGCCTGCTGTGTTCATCCAGCTCTACACCGTGTTATCTCAGATTCTCCAGCTTCAGGCAGTTCGTACTATCTCTTAAACTCCTGCATTGTTTTAATGGGGCGCCTTGCTTTGTCTCCACTGGGAAATATTCATGATCTGTACAGGGTTCATAATGATCTTGAGTAAGTCGGCAGTGCAGGACTGAGCAGAACAATGAGTAATTTTGTGAAACCTTCACAATGCCAACACATGGATCATAATGTCCCTCACCAAGGTCCCAGTACTTTGGTTTGGCAGTGTGACTGTCGATTTGAAATCAATTTTGTTAAATTTCGGAAAAAGATATGTCCATATTTATTCGTGCAGAAGTTACATTTCCTGATGTATATGCATTGCTTAAAATGATGATTTCACATTTCAAGATACCGTTTATTTTGCTGAGTAATGGCAATTTTTATCCCCAGTTCATTTGAACATTTTGAATTTATTTCTAAGTGTTGCATAAATTCCTGATCCTTTATTCTTATCCTTGTATTTCAGGCAGACTTGTCGACACTCAGGCCGAGAGCACAGGTAATTGTATGTCATTATCAGAGGGAGTAGAATCCCTATATTCTGGTGTGTCTGTTCGAACACCATGTTGTGGTGTTAATGTGCATGCATTAATGTTCATGTGTTAACCAGCTGTGTGGACTTTACTGAAGGGGGATGGCGTACTCCTGAAGTTCGCTATTTCCAGAGTTCCTGGGTAAGAGAGTGTGAGCAGTAATCTCCACTCACACTGCTCTTCTCAGGTCGTGAGTCAATAACTGAGGGTTCGTGGAGAGGAGAGAGGGAACGATCAGCTCCGACTCACGCTAAAGTCCTCAGTTCATGAGAGAACGTATGAGGGTTTCTGGAGAGGAGAGAGTGAAGGATCAGCTTCCACTCATACTGCTGTTCTCAGATCAAGAGACAATGAACAAGGAGGGTTTAAAAGATCAGCTGAACACACAGTGCTGCTGTCGGAAACTCATTTAAATAATTTCACTCGTTATTGAACATTGACATCATGGTCGCGTGATCATGCATCCCATTACGTTTCTGGCTGTGTTGGACGGATGTACCGTCTCACTGTATTATGATCCCAGGGCGAGTCCTTCGTGTTTTCTCGCCAGTCAGTGCTGAACACGATGGAAAGCAGACCATTCCTGACACGCTCCTCTCGCCTTTCCTGAATTTCAAACATTTTCTGAACACTTGCCTGGATGGGTGAAGTTCCAACAAAACTGAAAAACCTCAACATCAATCAGGAGAAAGCAGCCCACTTGCCTGGACCCACATAGACTCCTTCCACCACCGACGCCCAGCAGCAGCAGTATGTGCTATCCACAAGATGCGCTGCAGAAATTCACAAAAGCTACTGAGTCGGCACCTACCAAACACCCTGCCGCTTCCATCGAGAAGGACAAAGACAGTAGATACATGGAATAACCACCAGCTGCCATTTCCCCTTCTAAAACATTCACTATCCTGCCTTGGAAATGTATTGCTTGGTTAGAATCCTGGAATTCCCTCCCACATGACATTGTGGGTCGACCTTCAGTACAGGGACTGTAGCGTTTTAAGAAGCCAGCAAACCACGACCATCTCAAGGGGGCAGCTAGAGAGGCGTAATGAATGTTGTCCCAGGCAGAGACACCCACGTCCCATAAATGAACAATGAATATCATTCTTCTCACGTTGGCTCGTTTATAGTAATTGTTTCTGTGAAAACATTTCTCTAACTGTCTCTGACTGTGCGTGAGCACCACTTAATAAAATGACCCTTCCCCTTTCACCAGGTGCAGTCCGTTTTCTGGGTTATATTATTGCAATCTGCATTTATACCATCCCCTCACAGCCATTGCACGTGAGCGGGGAACGTGGGCTGTGTTGAGACTTTACAAGTTTACGCCTTGTGAACCTTAGTTGCTATTCCTGTGTTTTACAGAGACTGTGAGACTGAGACTTGAGAATGGGGGCAGTCCTTGCGCTGGCCGAGTGGAGGTTCACTACAAGTGGCTATGGGGGACTGTGACTGATTATAACTGGGACCTGCCAGGCGCTAACGTTGTGTGTCGGGAGCTGAACTGTGGGTCTGCTGTCTCCGCGTTGGGCGGGTCTCACTTTGGACCAGGATCCGGTCCCATTGTGACGGGAAGAGTTTTGTGCAATGGGACCGAGCGTGCTCTGCGGGACTGTAAATCAGCAGCTTGGGCTCATTACACCACTCCACACACCAATGATGCTGGTGTCATCTGTTCAGGTAATTGTATGACTGCTGTTTCTGTGTCATTGTTTCACCACCCAGTACTGTCTGAAACCAGAAAGGATATAATGTCAGAACTACAACTGTCCAATAATTATTAATACCATAACAGCAGAATTACTGACTTGTTCGGCATCATTATCTGATATGTTGTATAACTGAAGGTATGTGCAGAGGTGATATACTTGCTACTCTTCATAGTCCGTTCAAGAATCAGGATAGGTGCCCATTGTTATTTCACTTGAAACCACATTGAGAGAACTGTACTGTTGGAAATATCACAGATACAAAACAATGAATAATAAAATTCTACATTGTGTTGGCGGGCTGAATCACTTTGTATAATTTATCTTCAGACTGAAAGACTCTTTCTCTCGGAGCAGCTGAGAGTCAAGAATATGAGGGTGAACATAAATGAGCTGGACAGGGCACCAACCGTACACAGATTGGAAGAACGTTAAACACGCAAATGTGATAAATCTGTCAGTTATCAGATGAATGTCCATCAGTCAATAATGTGCGTTATAATTGTTGCAATTTCTTGTGGTTCTTCGCTTTTTTTGCCAGAGCACAGAGCTCCGAGGTTGGTGCCTGGAAATTCCCAATGCTCCGGCAGAATGGAGATCCAATTCCGTGACACCTGGAAAACAGTGTGTGGTCTTGACTGGGATTTGAAAAACGCCAATGTGGTCTGTGCACATCTTCATTGTGGAGTGGCCGTCTCTGTATCAAGCTCTTCTCATTCTGGAGGCAGTACTGTGCCCATGTGTAATGAGGTATTTGAATGTACGGGCAATGAGACTCAACTGGGGGAGTGCCGCCATTCTTCATCCATTCACCAGGATTGCAGCGGACACAACAATGTCACCCTGAAATGTTCTGGTGAGTACTGACTAAATGAAAAAAAAAACAAATTTCGCTTTAATGATTGCCAAAGTGATCGCACTGCCATTTCTGATATTGCTTTGACAGTGCTAAATCTAAACCAAGATTTGTAGGATTCCAATGTCGTCATGCACTGAGACCAATGTGATACAATACACACGCAATTCTTGGAAATGAGGATGTTTCAAAATATTTACGCCTGTATTGGGAAAAAAAAAGCTTTCTTCGAGTTTATAACGTGTCGGCACTCAACATATTTTATTGTCTCTACTTTGTTAAAGTAGATAAATATGATAATAGCAAGCACAAGCTAATGTACGTACATTGAAATGAATATCAGACAATTAAATTTATGACAGTCGTATTTATTTTTAAACTCCCCTGCTCCTGATAATATTTTTGAGCAATGTTTCCAAACTGTTTAAAATAATTTAACATCACTCGTTCCAACAAATTCTTCATCAAGAATTTCCAAATAAAAATGCCTCATTGTCTGACATCCATCACCATGGTGATCTGCTCTACTATTATATTCCGAACTTATCATGGCGTCTGAACGTCATCCTTTTCGTGGCTGAAGTTTCACGTTGGTTTGAATTTACCTTGCCTTAAAAGCACTGTGTGTTTTACAATAGTGTCCATATTATCGATTGCCTGATTCAGTATCATTCCAGTGCACACTACACCTCTTGCCCGAATTCTTACCATTTGTGACCATTACTCCTCCGACGATCAGCTAACAGGAGCAAACTTTTTGGTTACCTGCCTTGTTTGCAGTCACATTCTCGTCCAACTCTATCTCCGACAGTTCCATTGCTACAACAATTACTGGTCCAATAAAATCGTGTCAAAAAAAGAAGGCTTGTTTTCAAGTATTGCTCATCTGCACCTCCTCAAAGGCCATGACACCCTTTGGGAATTGCGTGGTGTTCTTGATCATAGAATTTACAACATTTGGAAAGCGGTCATTCGGACCAACAACTCCACACCGACTCTCTGAAGAGAATCCCACCCTATTCCTGCATTACCAATGTCGAATCCACATCACTTATACATCGCTGGACACTTTGGACAATGTAGATTGGCCAACCCAACGAGACTGCACATCTTTTGACTGTGGAAGGGAACCAGAGCAGACAGAGGAAACCCACTCAGACACATGGAGAAGGGGCAAACTCCACACAGAGAGCCACCCGAGAGTGGAATCGAGCCCAGGTGCCTGTGGGTGCGTGGCAGCAGAGCTAACCGCTGAGCCTCTCTGCCACCCGATCACCGGGTCTGCGATTCGGCATCACAGACACATGTACAGAATACCCCGCAGCAGCGCTCTCGCGCAGTTTGAGGATACAAGTTATTCTGCACTGCCCTCCTCAGTCGCGGTGACTGAGACGACTCCTCCCAGAATCCTTCTCACCATCGTCCTCAGTTGTACTCAATGCTTTTCTTTTGCCTGAAGAGAACTGGATAACAATTATCATAAAGTTTCTGGTTCTGCCCTAATTAACTCTATTTACAAATTTAATTTGAAGTTGCTTTTTAGATAATTCTGTCAAGTTTTCTGTCAACTTCAAGCATCAGAGCTGTTGAAATGTTCCGCACTTCTGTCCAATTTATTCAAAAAATGAAGAGTGAAAAACTGAAAGCCTTCAAATATATCTTACATATCATTTTTCAGGATGACAAAATGTATCGCCTCCCACATGTCTTTGCATTAGCTTCTATCTGCTACTTGTCTATCCGTTCTGCTGCCCTTTTAATGACCTACTAAAATTGTTCGCTGCCATAATTAATGGTGTGAACACATTAATATCTGGCTAAATTTGAACTGTTACTTTGCAACTTAATGCAAACTTGGAAATGTCCATGCCCCATTCTCCAAAATTCTCAAATACATAGCTTGCATAATTGATTTCCTCATTATGAGATGTAAGATTTAAAGAGCCCTCCTTTTACCATTTTCTGACGAGTTTGCACAATTGAGTTGCATAACTTTTTCCAATAAATTTTAATAGTTGAAATGAAAGATAAGACATACAAGAATCAGAAGGGAGCACAAGATTAGGGCGACATAGCTAGATTCTGAGGAAAGATAACAGTGGGTTTAACTGGAGAATAAATATTGATGTTGGGACAATTGTATTTTTCGGCTGGCATCTGATGCAGTGGTCAGAATTTTGTCACTTGGATTGTGTGCATCTTATTCCACTAAATGCCTTTTAACATCATAAATATCTCAATCATCTGAATCTAAACAACAGAGGAG